GGTAGGTGGGGCCCCGTCGGCGCCGAGCGTGCCGTCGAGCCGGAGCGGTGGGGAGGGGGAGGGGGGCAGGCGCGCGCGAGCGAGCGAGGAAGGCGCGGGGTAGGAGCCGACGCGACGACGACGCTTTAGGCGAGGGGGGAGGAGGAGGAGGAGAAAGAAGAGTGGTGGAGTAGACAAAAGTGGGGGGGATATTTTTTCGGAGAGAAAAAGAAATGGATATCGCGGGATGCGTGGGAAGTTACTGCCTGCGAGTGGGTGGCAGGCAGCTGCCGCGACGGCGACGCCGCGGGTCCACGTGCGGCTGATGGGGTTGAAATCGCTGACGACTGGGTCCCGGTGCTCTGGTCCGTGCTGTCAGTGGGCGAATGGTGCTGATGCCGGGGGAGGTTTCGCTTCTCGGATCCGATGGTTGCCCGCGGCGGCTTGCGACGGTGCCTGCCGGGCGGCTGCATGTGGGGTCAGGGTGCGTGATCGTGAGCGCGCGCGCGCGTACGTGCGTCTCCTTTCCTGGCTCCCGTGTGGAATCTTCGTGGATGGATAGTGGTGGCGCTCGCCGGAAGTTTGGTGGGGCACGGGAAAGGTGACGGTGGGTAGGGACGCGCTGACGTGTCACCCAACCGCAAGTTAACTACTGTACTGGAGTACAAGCACATACAGACACAGTGTATCAAAGTGTAGTCTAGATAGTTGGGTATTCAAGTCTTAGCCTTGACATTGGTGGCCCTATTTTGTTGAATTTATTTTGGGATTTTTGACTACGCGCATTCAGGGAGAGGAAACATTTCCGTTGACTACGACGGTATTTATGGAGATTTTGTCAATGTCAAGATGATGTGCCGGCTCAGTATCTCGGATGTGTTCATAGGGATAAGGTGCACAATAATGTGTTCATAGGGGTGAGTGTATGTGCGTATGTACTCACATTCAAAAGAAAGTGTTGATTTCTCAAATTTTTAAAATGCCACAAGCAAGGATATAGACCACTATAAATGCTCTTAGCAAGAAAAAAGGTAGGATGATCTAGTCCGTTAATGGCGCATGTAGTCAAGGGTCCTATATATGCACGGCTATCATGTGTTTTTAACCATCATCCTTGGAATCTAATCTTCGAGTAGGAATTCACGTGCCACGCAATTATTAACTTGGACTGGAAAACTGAAGATTGAATGGCTACCGTTTTGAGTTGTGTGCATGTCGTTGGAGCCTAAAACAACGAGAGTACAAATGAATTTATATAAGGTTTTCTCTAGTTTACAGGAATTTTGTAAAAAAACGAAATCTTTGGGGCCCTTTAGTTTATAGGAACATAATGATATTTC